CCCGGGAGGGCACCCCATTTTTTGGGGGAGCCCTTTTTTTTTTTGTTTTTTCCCCGGGGGGAAAAAAAAAAGAGGGGGGGGGGGGGGGGGGGGGGAAAGGGGCCAAAGAAAAAAAAAAGAGGGGGGGGGGGAAAACGGGAAAAATCGGGGGGGGTCGGAAAACCCCCCCTTTAAAAAACCCCAGGGGGATAAAAAAGGGGGGGGCCCCCCCGGGGGTATTTGGCCCCGGGGGTTAAAAGGGGGGGGGGGGGGGGGGGGGGGGGGGGGCACGCCTAAACGGACAAAAGCAGAGAATGCAAGGGGTCGCACCAACACCAACACCAACACCAACAACAGCGAGGTTACGGCAACACCCACCGTCAACGACACCGAAATAGACGGCAACAACAAGTTACACGCATTCCCCATCGACGTTTATACATAGAATCAATCACAGAAGGAATGCCCGTTAGAGAGAACACCACAGACCAAGGGGATATATTCGAGTCTTCACAGTACAGAGTGAGAGAAAAGCCGCCTGGATGCTGAACAACGTCTTTGCAGAAGTGAGTGGGAACAAAACCGGCTGGATGTGGATATGTACACAATCAAGTCCATACAGTAGCACGTGGGAGAAAAAACGGCTGGGCATGTACTAGAACTAAATGATAAAAATGTTGTCCAAGTCACCTAGCTGACGGCGGCATGAGGAACATCCCCGCGAACATGATCACAGCCGGGAAGGCGCCCGCTCCGTAGGTGAACCTGCAGAGAGGAAGAAATTGAGAAAAAAAAATCAAGTTGCATGTACACCTTGGACGATGTTCTCGAACATGAACCTACCTTTGGGGGGGGAAACAAAGTGGCACGAAAGACGAGCATCTACACAAAAACAAAAAATTGACAAGATACCTACCTGTTGGCGGATCTACATACGTGCGCTCTCAAGCGAGCGGCCCCTTTGGTTCCATGGTACTCCGACAACATCATCAGCATCAACACCAATGGCGATGAAAAACACCAACACCGGCGATAACGCCAACGCCCATGGCAACGAAGACCAAACACCAACATCAACACCAGCCCCAACGCCGCCACCATCAACAAAAATATTTACCAACACCAGCAACGACCAGCAACCACCACCAACCACAACAACAACAACAACAACAACAACGGCAACGGCAACGGCAACGGCAACGGCAACGAACGCCACCTCCGTGCGGCGACGAGGTCTTCTAGTTTCCAGCTACAACAGCGCCATCATCAGCAACAACAACAACAACAACAACAACAACAACAAACACAGCACCAACAACAAGAACAACAACGGCAACGGCAACGGCCATCACCTCCATCCGGCGACGGTGTCCTCGAGGTACCAGCCGATGCTGTACCCGAACAGCATGCCGACGACGATCATGGCTTCCTTCAACGACACCAGCACGCCGCGCACCGCTGCGGGAGACATCTCCCCGATGTACGCGGGTGCCTGAGAGAGGGAGAGAGTAGACGGAGTGAGTTAGAGAGAGACAGAAAGAGAGGAGAAAGAGAGAGAGAGAGAGAGAGACAGAAAGAGAGAGAGACACACACACAGAACGAGAGAGAGAGACAGACAGACAGACAGAGACAGAGACAGAGACAGACAGACATACAGACATACAGACAGAGAGGGAGCGAAAGATAAATACAGGGCATTTTCGCCAAATAGAGCGCCAAGGCGAAGATTTCCACTCGTGCGGCATACTTTACATCCTTAACCAAAAGATTAAGACTTGCACTCAGTCTCCATACCCAGACGTCGGCAAACGCGTGCAAAGCCTGTAGCCTCTCTCGCGTGTACACACATCGCAGGCATGTATGCTGCGCCAAAAAGTAGGGGTTAGGGGTCCCGTGAAGAGGAGGCCCGCCTCATCGCGAGTGCCGGGGGGGAGTGGGGGTGGGGGGGGGGGGACGGTTCCCGAAAAATCACTCGAGACATCATGCATGGAGGGGGTTTACCCGGATCGTGGACAATTGAGGTAGGCCAAGAACCACCGGATGTGTTCAAACCACCGCCATCTCTCAATTTTCGTCTGAAGGGCGTTTCTCTTTTGAGCTCCTCCGCGCGCGCAGATGATCCCACCCGACCCCTGCGCCGTGGACACGACACGTCACTTCCTCGCTTTCGCTGAGAGTGTAGCTTTCAATGCATCCTGTAGTGCGGTGGGTATCTCAGCCGTCCAGCCAGCCACATGTTTCGAACAGGACGTGTCAACACGTCACCAAGTGGTGTTTAATGCCATGAGTTCATCTTCATGAGTCCTGTATGCCCGTGGGCGTCTCGGCAGTCCATCCAGCCGCATGTTTCCAACAGGACGGGGTCTATCGGGGTCCCTTCGCCTCGACTGCAACTACTGCTTAGCACGCCGGTACATGACAGAAGAGTGCTTTGGAAAGCCACCACAATATTCAGTCCCGCCCTCCCGCGAAGAGACTTCGATTTATCTTCGTCCACATTCACCGGCAATGGTAGTGAGTACGTGAATCCATGCTGTCTACGTATCAGCATCATACTTGTAGCAAACAACGCAAGGTATCGTCGTATTTCACACTCACCCCGTGCATGGCGAAGCCGCACCCCACCCCGTAGGACACCCGACCGATCATGAGGACCACCAACCCCCAGTCTCCCGACCAAACCGACGACCCCGAAACCGCCTCGATTATGGCCCCGAAGAAAAAGAGCACGGCCGCCACCAGGATCTCCCGCCGCCTGCCGAGGGCGTCGCCCACCCTGAAGCAGATGATTGATCCGATCATCGCCCCTGTCCAGGTTGGGTTGGGTTATGTAACAGTTCAAGAAGGGGGTGGGTACACATGGATCTTCATGATGTGGTAAGGGGGGGGGGGGGGGGGGAAACATAGTCTTGCATGCCGTAATCGTTAAAGCATTGAGCCCCCATCCCTACGAAGTCGGGACGGAGGATGCCGGGTTCTCCCCGGACCAGGGTCTCACTTCACCCAGGGGGAAGCGCCGTGAGGTATTCGGCGAGTCCCATGAAGGG